TTATATTCAGAAAGAATAAACCAGTTTTATTTAAGAAAGGACTTCTATCGGTTAAGTTTCTTAGGAAAGAATTTTTACGCAAAATTAACGAACGAACGGAGACGTAACAATAATATCAAAGTATTCTTATACAAAAATTGTTTTCCTGTCATTAAATCCTTTGAAACTATTTAAACAAACAGTTTTAGTACACCAACTACTATGAAATTCTGAAATACTTTTTAGTCATAACTTTGCTATACAAGGGTAAATATTCTCTGAATATAAAAAAATCAGTTACAAAATATACATCTCAGGGCAGCATTTCTCAACCACTGTTTCACGAATCGGCGCTAGTCTGTCACAACCACTTTGCCAGACTGAGAGATTTCACGAACACAAACAAAAACTGACAGAAAATTTATATGTAAATCTCATTTGTTTTCTACTGTACTTGCAATTTAGTAGTCTTTGACAGTATAAGGAGACAGGAATCAGTCCGTGGTATCGAAAAGGTCGAGAAACGCTGTCATAGGATATATCTTCAAACCCAGTTGAAATATATTTTTAACGTGTTTACTTTTTCTTCTTCTTTAGATTTAAAGACTGTACTCCTTCACTGAAAACATTAATTGTTATTTTGAAATTTACTTTATATATTGGTTCTAGTAAAAGAAAACTGTTAACTTGTGTGCAGGAACATGCACATTTAAGAACCATAAATATATCAAGTGTATTAGAGTGACTAGAGCACACCCTAGGTAAGAGTGACATATTCATCCACTTAAATTAAGATCTTAGCAAGAGCCAATACGAACGTAGCCTCTGCATTAAAGAGAGCTTGCTCATACATAAACAGAGACTGGAATAATGTTAAGCTGATAAATCAGGTGGAACTGACGTTTGAACTGCGTATCAGAGAAACAATACAAATTGATATATATATCGTGCTGATCAAAAAGGTTAGTACAGGTTTAGAAGAAACGATGTTGTTTGTTATTAAGCACAAAACTACACAAAGGGATATCTGTGCCCTGCCCACCACGGATATCGAAACCCGGTTTCTAGCAGTATAAGTCCGCAGACGTACCACTGGGAAGCGGAAGAAATGAAGTAGTTGATATGTGTTTTATAAACTCTTTGGTGTGTTTAAGTCTAGATGGTGCTACAAGTATGATAACTGTTATGTAGTTATGCAAGTTATTTTCGAACTTTAACTTATACTCCTGAGGATGGTATCATAAAACACAGAAACATGTAGAGGGGCTGTGACCTGTTTTTAATAAATTATTCACTGTACAATTATCTTAACGTTTTACTCCTTTTACCGAATGTTATTTTTGAGTGGCTCTTAACACGACTGAACTCCTCAACAATTACTTTTTGCTTTGGCTCTGAGTGAAACCAAGAGTGCCACACAATTCACCTTTCTAAAATCTATGAAATAATTTTATAGATTAACTTAAACTTTTCCAGTTACTGGGGATGGGTACTTTTGCTTGTACTGTAATAATTTCTACTGTCTCTCTTTGTTTAACCTCAAATTTAAAAGAAAAATTTTAAATGTAAATGGCAAGAGTGAAACGAATAGCATGATTGTTCTGTTGAATCAAAGATAAAATATTTTTATTTCATACCTCACGATGGCAACAAAATCTTCAGCAGTCTTGTAAGCAGTAGAGTTTGTTTGTATAGTATTATCTTTATAATAAGGAGATGAGGTAACCGATTTAACCTTAAATTCAAAAGAAGACAGTTTAAAGGGTAAATGAGAGAGTGAAATGAACAGAATAATTATATTCATTGGAACTAAAGATTATACATAAAATACATTATATTTACATTCAAAGTAAAGTTCCTGATTTTGATTTGCATAATGTAATTTTTTCTTTAATGAGGAAATATAAAATGTTAAACAATTTCAGCTTAGTTGTTTATTAAGATTGTTTCTGACCTCTTATAGAATGTGTCTGTGATTTACATCTAGCCCCCAATCCTTCCTATAGATGTCCTTGTCTAGAGCAATTAATAAAAAAATGTTATTTAGAGAATAAAAAAAAAGTTCATATTAGTGCTGCAGCAAATTTAAATTAAAAAAACAACAACAAAAACATAAGTTTGATTATTGCGTTAGTTTTTTAAAGTAAAAAATAACACAGAAATAAGTTTAACTGAAACCACTACCTATTCTGTTATGTTTGTGAGATTTCTAATTATATTTCTTCAGTTTTATACATTACACACTCAAAGACAAGCATTGAAGTTAGTTATACACTGCTGTGATTCAAAAACATTCTTGAACTAGTAATTCACTTGACAATTCCATAAATTCCATAAACATTTAGATTCTATATTGAGAGTAATAAAATAAATATTAAAGAATTAAAGCAAGTTTCTATTTACTTTTTGTAAAAAGAAAACTAAAGAAAAAATATAGTGAAATTAAACAGTAAAATAATAGTTAATAGCTAATAATAATAGTTAAGAACATTTACAAGACAGCAGGACACAAGCATCATACCTGGATAGTTACTCTACTGACTAAGCCCTCAGTGTTTTAAGTCTCTACTGCTTTCAAATTCTTGTTTATACTAAACAAATGCAGGATTACCTTTTGAAGAGAATACTTATTCCCACACTGTAAAAAGGTCTAACTATGGCATGACCCCTATCTGGTACTAGTACTCAGTGATTTCTATATCAAACTTTACAAATATACCATTCTGAAAATAGCTGTTCTAAGAACCAAGATGGTTCAGATATGTTGCTGATAAATTTATAATAAACAAAGATTCCAGAATTAATAAACCATTTGAGTAGACAATAATCAATGACATATTTCACAACAGAAATGATAACAAGCTCCCTTTCCTAGAAGTGATGCTTATCAAGATGTATAACTCATAAACAACAGTTTACAAAAAACCCAGATACTGGTAAGCATCTTAAACGTATAAACCACCATATACATATAACACTGGTATCACAGACTGCTTTGTCTTTAGAAAGAACATGATTTTTTAACACACAAGAAGAAACAATTAATCACTATGGTTCTCCCTGACAATGGATATCCTGAATATTTGATGAAGATGAATGTTAAAAATAAGCAGGAAGAAAAGTATATACACATTAACAAATTCCTTTACCTTTTCAGAAATCAAATCACAACAGAATAATATAGCAGTCAGTGCATACCACATCACCTCAAGAACTGACAGGGAGAAAACTAATGTAGTAAGAATTCAAGAGCACAACATGTACACAAGACTATAACACAGATCTATCTGGAACAGCACATTTTGTCAAAGAAAAGGATCACACAACTAAGTATAATACTATTAAAATAATGGCTATAAAATACACATAAAAGAAAAAACAATAAAAAGATAACGCCTAGCACAAAAACTAGCTAAACCTAGTCTTTCCATTTAAAAATAAACACATCTGAATAGTAAACTGGATTAAGTCCAAATGTGGCAAGAGCCCATATAAGTGTTTATTACCCATATCTTTATAACAAGAACACATGGGTTTGAATCCACTTTTTTTCACGATGTGAATTTCTTTCCAAGACTTCCTAATAAAATATAGTGTCAAAGCTAATTTGTAATTAGTGATTGAAATAATAGAAAAGTTAGCAAATCACCAATTAATTGTTAAATTATTGTATATTTTATTGTATATGCTATTAACCATGATCACTTGGTTGTTAAATTTCACGTAAAGCTACGTGAGGGCTATGTGAACTATCTGTCCCTAACTTTGAAGTGATAAGACTAAGTGGAAGACAGCTAGTCAACACCACTCATCATCAGCGCTTGTTATGAATCATATAGTCTTCAGACCTATTGTCTGGCAAGCTGACTACTAGGCACTAAAATAATGATTGGTGTCCAGTTGCAATAGTTTTATCAGAAATACATAACTGTTGTAGGATTTACTTGAGAAAAAGAAATAACCATCACTTCAAAAACACCAAACCCCGACCATGTAATAGTTGCATTATGTAAAACTCACATGAAATAATTAAATAATCTGTTAACATTAAAAAGTCAATCAATTTGTTGTTAAATACAAACAACTCTTCAGTTTTAGGTATAAAAATATTCTGGTAATTATTAAATTTTCTTCACCCTACAACTGACAAGCATTACAAGAATTTTATTTACATTATGTACAATGAGTCGAATGACATTTAACTTTTATTTTTCTCTCAAGTCCTTTGTAACACCTTCATACATTTTAGTTATTTTCTTTTTGGTGCTTTTCTACATGCAGAACACCTTAAAAGTCCTAGCTACAGATATCATACCTAGATGCTTTCTTTACAGTTTGTAGCTACTAATGTTTTAGGGTTCCACATACTTTTTCACATACCATACTGGTGTGATTTTACAGAAAAACTATGCAAGTGTTCCCTGTCACAACAGTACACTATAACTAAAAATTTCATATTTCGTTACTTTCCCTTCCGTATGATTCCTCTAGTGTTTTATTAAGATGATTATAATTTCAAATTTGTTTACTACACACAACACAACTGTAGTTTCCCCCCACTGTATGTCCACTGAATGTTTTTATCAAACACTTCACACTGTTAAAGTTTAACTCTAGCGTGTATCTTTTGATGTTTTCTGAAGTTTGTATCAAATACAAATTCTCTGCCACACACTGTGCAACTATATGGTTTCTCTCCAGTGTGTAACCTCTCATGTTTTTTTAGATAACTCTTTGTTCCAAATTCTTTGCCACAGATTGCACAGCTGTATGGTTTATCCCCAGTGTGTACACTTTCATGTTTCTTTAGGTAAGTACTTTTTCCAAAATTTTTCCCACAGATTTCACAGTTGTATGGTTTCTCCCCAGTGTGTATTCTCTCATGGTTTTTTACTTCACTTTTTCTTCCAAACTTTTTGCTACATACTACACAGCTGTATGGTTTCTCCCCAATATGTATTATCTCATGGCTTTTTAGTTCACGTTTTGTTACAAATTCTTTGCCACACCCAACACAACTGTATGGTTTTTCCCCAGTGTGTATCCTCCTATGAATTTTTAGGTCACCATTTCTTGCAAATTTTTTTTTACATATTATACAACCATAAGGCTTCTCTCCAGTGTGTATTCTTTGATGTATTTTTAGTTCACTATTTGTTCCAAATTTTTTGAAACATACTGTACACCTGTAAGGTTTCTCTCCAGTGTGTATCCTTTGATGTTTTTTTAGGTTACTTTTTCTTCCAAATTCTTTGCCACACATTACACAAACATATGGTTTCTCTCCAGTGTGTATCCTTTCATGTTTTTTTAGGTTACCTTTTCTTCCAAATTCTTTGCCACACACTACACAAACATATGGTTTCTCTCCAGTATGTATTTTTTGGTGTATTTTTAAATTACTATTTGTTCCAAATACTTTTCCACATATTACACAACTGTATGGTTTCTCACCTTTAGAAGGCATAACAGATTGTTTTAGGTTACTTCCACTTAAATTTGTCTTTTCAAATACATCACTGTTTGGTTTCTGAGATTTGCTGACTTCTATTTTCATAAAGGAATCTTCTTGTGTTAAATTATGATCACCAGCAAACTGATTTCCAGAAGATGTGTTTACATTGGTCTTCATATCTAAAATAAAAAATACAGATGTGAAATACACAGTTATTAATAAGTACATGATACATTATTCTTATGAACTCCTACATTTTTATTGGTCTAATCCAATCAACTAATAAAATTCAACAAAGTGGTTATGCACTTTAAACAATAAGGAAAAAATGAGAAATCTGGAAAATGAAATTAAGTTATTGTAAAGTATAGATTTGTTCTGAATAGTAAGATTGCGATCCCAAAGTTAATGTTGGTTACTATCAGTGTCACTTTCTTACTTGCTGTAGTTTATTGGTGTATAATGACAAAAAGTCATGATATCTAATCAAAAACACTTTAGGTGTGAAAAAAAATAGCAGCAAAAATGTTTTGTTCAACTTGGGGAATTATGGTGAGTAAAACAAAATATGGGACCTAGCTAGCTAATGAATTAATATTTGCTGTAAAATTCTAATCAATGCTATAAGTGTAACTACCAGTTAGGCCGCCAATTTTGATTTCACTCCTTTAATTCACACACTGAATCCATTTTTTGGCCACTC